TGAAATGATTTGTAATGTTTTTCTCTGGTCTGCGGATTCTTCTAAGCGTGGAGCATCGAAAATTTGTTGGAAGACTTGCTGCTTACCAAAGTGTCTTCGGGATTTTCGCGTGTGGAATCAGGTTCTGAACCTTAAACTCATTTGGATTCTATTCAATAGCAGTGGTTCTGTTTGGGTCGCTTGGACTAAGGCTCATATGTTAAAGGAAGACTGCTTTTGGGGAACTACAGCTAAACAACACTGCTCTTGGATTTGGAATGCAATTCTCTCTCTAAGGCCCCTTGCCAAAAACCTAATTGAGTGCGATATTAGAAATGGCAGGTCTGCAAGTTTTTGGTTCGATTCTTGGACCAGTCTAGGTGATGCAACCATGATAACAGCAATCACATCTTTGATCTATCAACAAATGATCCAATTCAAATCAAGCCCAAAATCTCAAGAAATTTCTATAAAAAAATCAGATCATGGATATATCAAGAAGTTGTCTAGATACAAAATATTCATCTCCATTAAATCTGATAGCTAAATTTGTGGAAGAAGACCATAAAGTTAATTTAGCTGATTTTTCTCCTCTTTTTATTTAAATTGTGCATAATTTTCTCTTGTAATTAATTTCTTTGACTTTGAAGGTCTTGTAAATGAGCCTATAAAACCTCATCACTTGTCATTGTAAAAATATATACAGATTTTTGGAAAAAATAAAAAGAAAGAATTTTCTCTCTAAAGCTTAGGCTTTGTTTTTGTTTATCTAAGTAAGGTGGGATTCCTTTACTTAGTAAACATTAAATCTATGTCTCTTGTGTGAGATACCTTGAGACTAGGTTTGTGAACTCATCACAAGGGCTTTCACACCCTTGAGTGGCGTTCTTCGATCCACCATCATCGTTCTATCAATCCGCTGCTTGAAGATCTGTTTATCCGAAGTCATATAAGTCATTGACAGCTCTGTGCTTGTATCATTTTGGTATCAGAGCTAAAAGCTCCTATCCATCAGGTTGTATCCATCCAATCTTATTTATCTATCAATCAGAGGTTTAAAGATTTGTTCATCTGAATCATATAAGCCCTTGACAGCTTGGTGCTTGTATCATTTTTGGTGTTCTTCCAACCTCTATTATTTTTATTTTCTTTTGTTTTATTAAAAAAAAAAAACTAAATCCACAAAATTGTTTTGTTTTGTTTTCTGAATATTTTTTTCATTTGAAAATTTAAAAAAAAAGAGAAATTTGCAGTTTATTTATTTATTTTGTTTAAAAAAAAATCATAAAAATTCCAAAAGAAATTGTTTTCACTTTGTTTCGTTTTTATGAATTCAAAAAAAAAAACAAAAGTAAAATTTTCAACTATTTTTAAATTATCCTAAAAAAAACAAAAAGTTTCTGTTATTTTTAAATTATTTTCATCATTAAAAAAAAGTTTTGTTATAATTATTTCACTCTGTTTTCTTAATTCAAAAAAAAAAAAATGTCAAAACCAAGGCCACAACATCACCAAGTTGAAACGGTTTTGAGGACAAAACATTTTGAAGGAGAGAATGATGCAACCATGATAACAGCAATCACATTTTTGATCTATCAACAAATGATCCAATTCAAATCAAGCCCAAAATCTCAAGAAATTTCTATAAGAAAATTAGACCATGGATATATCAAGAAGTTGTCTAGATACAAAGTATTCATCTCCATTAAATCTGATAGCTAAATTTGTGGAAGAAGACCATAAAGTTAATTTAGCTGATTTTTCTCCTCTTTTTATTTAAATTGTGCATAATTTTCTCTTGTAATTAATTTCTTTGACTTTGAAGGTCTTGTAAATGAGCCTATAAAACCTCATCACTTGTCATTGTAAAAATATATACAGATTTTTGGAAAAAATAGAAAGAAAGAGTTTTCTCTCTAAAGCTTAGGCTTTGTTTTTGTTTATCTAAGTAAGGTGGGATTCTTTTACTTAGTAAACATTAAATCTATGTCTCTTGTGTGAGATACCTTGAGACTAGGTTTGTGAACTCATCACAAGGGCTTTCACACCCTTGAGTGGCGTTCTTCGATCCACCATCATCGTTCTATCAATCCGCTGCTTGAAGATCTGTTTATCCGATGTCATATAAGTCATTGACAGCTCTGTGCTTGTATCACTAGGTCCTCTCATTGAGATCACTGGCCCTGAGGGTCCTAGCAAAATGGGCATTCCTCTTCACTCGTCTGTGACTGATGCTTGCTCTCACAACCGCTGGACTCTCCCTTCAGCCAGGACAAGGGACCCATCTCTTTTGGCTATCTGAAACTCCATTATTGATCTTCCAATCCCGAACCCTGCTCAGGGCGAGGATGTGTTTCTTTGGGGTGCTGAAGGTTCAAGGACCGCCAACTTCAGCACAAGCAGAACCTGGGACATCCTTAGACCGCGAGAGGATATAAAAATCTGGTGGAAAGCGGTGTGGTTTAAGCGAGCTACTCCGAAACATGCCTTCACTTTTTGGACGGCAAACTATGACAGACTTCCTCTGAAAACAAAGATGGTCAGATGGGGTATCAATATCTCTTCCATTTGCAGTCTTTGTGATAGAGAGGATGAGACCAGAGACCATTTGTTCTTCCACTGCTCTTATTCAGATGCCGTGTGGAGCAAGTGCCTCCGACGATTAGGATCTTCTACCATCTCCTTCTCTAATTGGCAGTCCATGGTCACTTGGTCGCTGCAGGTCACACCAAGGTCCTCCTCTACTCTGAAGAAACTGGTGGCTCAGGCTACAATCTACTTACTTTGGCGCGAGCGTAACAAACGACATCATGACGGCCTACCATCCTCTGCAAATCAGTTCTTCGACTAACTGGATAGACTGATCAGAGACACTCTTCTGGCGCACCGATCCCGGCATAACTGCAGGGGTCTTCTTTCTCTCTGGTTCAAGTACCACTACTTCTCCTTGCTCCGTTGTAACCTCTAATTTGATCTATTCCAAAGCCTTTTTCTTTTTTTTAGGCTATTGGAATAACTGCTAATGTAATATGTAAACCCTCAAGTTCCATAGGTAATATAATTTAAATTTTATATATAAAAAAAAACAGTTAAGCATCCATTACCGAGATAAATTCTGGCAAGAAAAAAAATTCTAAAGTGAAGTCTACTCAAATCCCTAAATTTTTGTGAAACGGCGATTTCGTACCAAAGTATGTCGTCCCCATTTATCCTGAAACAGTAGCTTGTGTATTTTGTAAGGAGTCTATTGAGACATAGAACCATCTGTTCTTCACATTTACTCGCATGGAGAACAGAAAACCACTCACTCAAAACTTTCTGGCTTTGAAGTATACAAAAAATTAAGCCGACACTCTTGTTTTCTTTGTCGATAAATCACAAGCCAAGGCTCCAAGCTGTGGTTGTTTCTCTGGTGATAATCTTTTCAGATAACAATTCACTCCATTTTGTGAGAGAGGAACGACATAAGATATGGTGACCCCACTATTCACCCTCCTCAACGCACCAGGAACAAAGACAAACAAATCCACAACAGATTGTCGTTGATTCGAAGTAGTGGGTGATGCCAGATACAACAAAGAGATGCAGCTTTGGTTTGATACTCAATGAAATCTTTACACTCTTTTTTCTAGCTTTAAACTAGCAATAGACAATTTTCAAAATTTGTTGTATTTTTTTGTAAAAAAAAAGAGTTTTTTGATTGACTAAAATTTTACATTCTTTTCCAAAAAAAGAAGAGAAAAGGATATTTGTTGTTATTCTTTTGTTGAGTTAGCGTTGCAATGACAATCTGTTTTGATAATACTTAATTCAGTGGCAACATTTCTTTATCTTTGGGGTTCATGTTAGATAGATTTATTTTCTTATATAAATTCTTTGTTTAGTGATTATCATCCCAATCCGAAACCAAACGATCGCTAGATGTTTGCAATTCAAAGTAAGAAAAAAAAAATGATAAAAACAATTACTAGAGGTCTGATCTAAGAAATATTTGTGTTATGTAAACACTATGAGACATATTTCTTTTTGTCAAAGACTATGAGACATATTTCTAGTATAGCGCATACGGTGAAAAAAAAAATACCTTATAACTTCTTTCAAGTATTTCTTATATTAGAAGTTCTTATTTAGTGATCATACAAAATTAAACTGTACCAAAAACAATTTAGTTGTTCGATGCTGTTTGTTCAAAGATTTGCTTCTTTGTTGGTACACAACAACAATTCTTATCGGCTCCACCACCGCCAAAAGTTTCACAACGCCAGATGCTATAACCTTGCGACTCACATTTTTCGTTACAATGCTGATCACAATCGGTAAGTGGTCCATTACAGAAGACATCTTGACCGCTAGCGCTTGTTTGTTCTGCAAAATAATAAAGACTGTAGTTAGAAAAACTGTATTGTATAAAACAATATAAATATATATGAATACATATGTGTATATATACCTGTAATGACCAACAACAAAATCATTGCGATGGTACTAACAACAACTAAAGATCTGTTCTTGTCCATTTTTTATTTTGAAGTAATCGTTTGTGTTGTGTAGTGTGTTGTAAATATTTTCATGAATTGTTGAGATCTAATAGGTCTTTATATAGCTAATTTGTGATATGATTTTCAAACTAAAATATAACGGCCGGTGAAAATTATATGCGGATACGTTGAACCAACTCATTATTCTTAATAGTTTGACTAGAAATGAATTCTTGAAAATTTGACTAGAGATTTGTTACCAAGTAAATTTGATAGGAGATTAAGTTTAAGACTGACTATATGGGTTTTTTTTTTTCTTGCGGTTTATATCCACTTTTAAAATTAATTGTTTGTATCTTGGGTAATTTTTTGATAATTAATACAATGAATCGCCAACAATTACAGTTGAGATTTTACTTTGTCACAAAAATAATAAAGCATTGGGCTGGAGGCCTATTTAGATTAATAAATTGAGGCCCATTTGGGTATAAACCTCACGCGAGAATTCTCCTTCAGAGTTTTGATCAAACCCCTGAAACTGCGATTTTCACCGACGAATCTCACTGCTAATGTCGTCGCCGTCTAGATCTTCCGGCGAAGAGCCACTGACTAAGAAGACGAAGAGGACGACTCCGTCGCCGGAACTCTCACATACGCGGCGGCGGCGGCAATCGAGCCCGATTCCGTCACTTCCTAATGACTTGCTGTTGAGCTGCTTCGCACGCATCTCTAGATTGTATTACCCGACTCTCTCCCTCGTCTCCAAGAGCTTTCGATGTCTCCTTTCTTCGCCTGAGTTTCACCAGACCCGATCCCTCTCAGGCCGCACCGAGAGTTGTCTCTATGTGTGCTTACTCGACTCTAACCCTCGCTGGTTCACTCTCTTTCAGAAACCTAAGCGAAACAAGGAGAAGAATTCAAGTGGCAAACTTTTGGCCCCAATCCCAATTCCAAAATCCCCTGAAGTTCAATGGCAATGTGTTGTTTCAATTGGTTCTAACATCTACGCCATTGGAGGACAAGTCAGAGGCTTTCCCTCTTCCGACATATGGGTTTTAGATTGCCATTGTCACGCTTGGCGCAAAGCTCCAAGCATGCGTGTGGAGCGAGATTCTCCAGCAGCCAATGTCTTTGATGGAAAGATATATGTAGCAGGAGGCTGCAAAGACTACGATTCCTCTACTTGAATGGAGATTTTCGATCCAAAGACACAAACTTGGGAGCCTGTGATGTGCCCTCTTGCAGATAAATGTATCAGTAGTATATGCAGGAGCGCAGTGATTGAAGGAGTAATCTATTACATTTTTAGGATTCTATTACACGTTTAGGGATAAGGGTGTGGCTTACAAGCCAAAGGAAGACAAATGGGAAGTGATAGGAGGAGTGTCTTTGGTTTTAGGATGGGATCATTATTATTGTGTGATCGATAACGTACTTTATTGTTATGCTTATCAAATGGTATGATTCTAAGAGACATTACTGGGTGAATATGAAAGGTTTGAGAGGACGGCTTGAATTTCCTAGTTATGGCTGTGTTAAACTGGCGGATTATGGTGGGAAGCTTGCTGTTTTGTGGACTCAGTTCTTTCGTTCTGGCGGCTGCAATAAGAAGAGGATTTGGTGTGCTGTGATTGTGCTTGAAAGACGCAGCAGTGAGGAGATTTGGGGAACGGTTGAGTGGCATGATCATGTTCTTACAGTCCCCAACTCATATAGACTCGAGTTTGGTCTTGCTGCTACTGTTTGATGAATCGACTCTGTAGTGTGAACATTTTGAGTGATGCTGATACTCTGGTAGTGGATTAGTTTAGTTTGTTGCTGGAGACTATAACCAAGTTCCTTATAAAAACACTGTTTTCTGCATATGCATAGGAAAGAACAAGTGTAACAAGATGCACAACTGGAGAGGGTTGGGTCGTGTGGTGAACAGAACTCCTTGTTCTATTTGGTTGCTTCTTAGACCACTTAACGGGTGGTTTTACAAAGATTCTTACCAATTAAAATAAAGAATAAATAAAAAAAATAAGAGAGAGGGTTGTAGAGTATCTACATGTGTCTCATTATTACTTTTTAATTTTAAAATTAAAATTTAATTATATAATTATATTATATTAAAATATTAATATTTATTTGTTTATATACCCAAAATGAATATTTTACCATTGGAGGTCTTAAAATCTTATAAAATCAATGAATATGGCTTTCTTTTTCACCAGCGCAAGCTCGCAACAAAAAATTCTGTTTATGGCAAACATTTATTAAAGTTGTTTCGGAAAGGTTTTGTTCCTAAATAAGATTTATCTGCCTTTTTTGGTGTTTCCAGTTTAGTTTCTTTTTTATGCACTTTTGGTTGCATAACGCAGGATTTTTTAAATTCTAAGTGAGCCAACTGAGGAAAGTTCATATAGCTAATTTGTGATATGGATTTCAAACTAAAATATAACGGCCGCTGAAAATTGATCTGCGGATACGTTGAACCAACTCATTCTTCAAGAAATTTTGACTAGAAATGAATTTTTGAAAATTTGAATAGAGATTTATTACCTAGTAAGTTTGATAGGAGATTAAATTTAGGACTGACTATATGGGTTCGCTTTTATTTCTTGCCGTTTATATCCACTTTTTAAATTAAATGTTTGTATCCTAAGTAATTTTTGATAATTAATAATTTAATACAATGAATCAACCAGATAATCTGAAATTTTTCTTTGTCACAAAAAGAATAAAACGAAATTCATTGTACTTTTAATGGCATAATTTAAAAATATAGCATGAGACCTATTTAGATTAATGTATTTGATGGAAAGATATATCTAGCAGGAGGCTGCAAAGACTGGGATTCTTCCAATTGGATAGAGGTTTTCGATCCAAAAACATAGACTTGGGTTTTTGGCAGTAGAGTACACAAAAGCGCAGGGGTTGAAGGAGGAAGAATCTACTACATATTTGAGAGTGAGTGTGTGGCTTACAAGCCAAAGGAAGATAAATGGAAAGTTACAGGTGGGCTGACTTATCTTGAATTCAGAAATATATTTTTTTTCTGGGATTATTCGAAGGTAACACTTGATGCGAGACCAAATCAATGTGTGAACTGCAATACATATGCTAGCGTCAAGGAAGATATGAAAAAAATAACCCTTTTCTCTGAAAAAAGTTATAGAATTTCATTTTTTTAATCAGCAACTACTAGAAACAGAGAGATATGGTTAGCCTCATCAATTCCCTTGTGATAGGCCACAAGACGCCTGAAAGCAAAACCATAAGAAAAGAATCAGCAAAATGAAGGAAATTTTCCAGTAAAAACTAAATTGAAAGTTCGAGCAGAACTAGATGACGATCCTGATCCGATAGATGTCTTGACCCCAATAGGGAAAAGAATTCTTCGCGAGAGGCCCGTTAAACCGTCGGAAAAGGTTAAGGAGCAATGGCAAATCGTAAATGGTGGACGTGGTAACCGTGGTCGCGGTCGCGGTCGTCGCGGTAAAAGAGGTGGTCGTGGCTAATTGATAGGTAACTTATTCGAAGCGGAAGATTCGGGTAATATCTAATTCATGACTTGAATTCTAATCTTTACTTTTTCTGTAATCTTTTTATGGCCTCGTCCATGCTTTGTAAGCTATTTTAATTTGAATAAATAAATATGTTATTAAAAAAAAAAAAAAAAAAATTGAAAGAAACAAAAATTACTCCCTCTGTTCAGAATTATTTGATGTTTTAGAAGGTTTTTTTTGTTCAGAATTATTTGATGTTCTCACTTTTCAATGCAAAATTTAATGAATTTTTATAGTTTTTGACCTTTTATATTCTGCAGATTGTTTTTTTATTGGCTGAATGATATTTAAATGAATTATAAATAATATTTTTAGTATAGGAAAAATAAAAATTAAATGAATCCTTAAACTGTGTGCAAAAACCTTAAACATCAAATAATTCTGAACAGAGGGAGTATTAAACAGCTTCCCTTATTACCATTTGCAGCAACCCATCACGAATATATCAGAATACTCTCTCGGATTGTAAAGGGTAGAAAATTCTTAATCACCCAAAGCAAACTTCTTATCATGATGATTCCCCATATTGATCGGCTCCTAAACACCCAAATTTTGTGACTCAAACAATCAAACACAATATCTAGAAACAAACCAAAACAAATAACTTGACAACTCTATGGAAGTGCATCGCAAACAATTTGTTTCTTTCACAAGTTACAAAATTTGACAAAACGAACAGAGTCAAGGTAATGAAAGAGTATAAGTACATACCTCTAAGATGCTTCGAAAGAGAGAGACACCAACAATATACTCAAACAATTGTCGACACAGCTTTGAAAACAACCAAATTTGATTACTTAAAGGCGAGAGCTTCAGATCCTCTTTCTAAACACTAAAACCACCAAATTTATAATTTTTTCTTTATTAATTTAAAAGGTAATAACGCCATAGAAAAGGATAGCTAAGCTAAACCCAAACTGAACAAAATATCCCAACGATGGAAAGAAGCCTCAAATGCCAAGAAAAGTCAAACTGAATAACATTAACATTCAAAAGAATTAAGAAATCAATAAATTGTAGAGCAAAAAAAGCAATAAATTGAAGAAGATTAAGAATTTAAAATTTTTTATAAAAATGACTAGAAATACTTTTATTTATTTAAATATGAAATTTTATACCAATTTTTGATTTGTGACGGTTGTTACAAAAACAACTTAGAAAAAAAAACAAAAGCTACAAACAATCATTACAAACAGAAAACAAAAACTAACAAAGAAACTGAACAAGCTATGCACATGCCATAACATACCCAAAAAATACCCAACAAAAAACACTGATATTAAACACCTAAGCTTGGACATTTGCGTTGTTTCTAAAGTTCTTAAAAACTCGAGTCTTCGTCATCTTGAACCAATGAACTGGGTATAACTGAAATCACACTTGAAGTCAACCCTTGCGATATAACCTGCCCCTACTGTAGGACAAGATTTTGCATGATGGTATGTTTCCAATTTTACAGTAATCGATATTTGTTAACAACTATTTATCTGACTAAATTTTTTTGTTCTTAGTGCAACGAAGAATGACACATCCCTTCTACATGTGTTGCCAGCATTTCGTGGATCCACCTGGCTGAGAAATGGTGTAAAGAAACTGATGTTCCCGCTAAGTTTCTCGTTTGCTATCAGCGAATGAATACTATGGATGAGGTTAGAAGCCTCTTACATTTATTTATGTACTTTATTATTGTAAGTATGCTCATGTTTTTTTTCTTATTTTTTGCGTGTGTGTTTTACAGCTTCATCAAAAGTTAAGCAGCTTAAGAAGTCACTTTGAATATCAACTTCCTGCAATATTCTGCAACCTATTTGAGGTATTCGATGAGGTAAGGATTAACATATATATGTTGCTTTATTTCTCAGTTTTTTCTGTCTTATGTCAACTAATATATGATGTTTTAATCCTCAGATATTCAACATCATAAACTTCCGTCGCTGGATGAATGTTTTGGTGATTTTTGAATCCTCTTTGGCATCGTCTGTTGCTTCTACATTGCCGGGAGTGGAGTCTAGCTTTGATAAACTTTGGGAGCAGTTGCCTTGGGCAAAAAAACAGAACAACGATATACCTTGGGAGGAAGAAACAGAGAGAAGGAAGCTTGATGACGCTAGATCAATATTACCCTCATAGAATTATGTGTATTACTTTGATTTATATTTGTATATATATATATACTCACCAGAGAATCCAACCTCAAGCATTGATCTGCTATTTTAAACAATTCATTGCTGTTATATAATACATTGAAAATTTTCTCTGTTTACTCTAGAGATTAGTTTAGGTTTTGAATCCAAGTATAGGTTTTGTTCATGACCACATATCCTCGAAAATATATTTTTTTCTGGGATTATTCGAAGGTAACACTTACACTTAGATGAGAGAGCAAATCAATGTGTGAAATGCAATACATATGCTAGCGTCAAGGAAAATATGAAAAAAACAACTCTTTTCTCTGAAGAAAGTTATAGAATTTCATTTTTTCATTTTAATCAGCAACGACTAAAAACAGAGAGATATGGTTAGCAAAGCCATAAGAAAAGAATCAGCAAAACGAAGGAAAATTTCCAGTAAAAACTAAATTGGAAGAAACAAAAATTATTAAACAGCTTCCCTTATTATCATTTGCAGCAACCCAACACGAATATATCAGAATACTCTCTCGGATTGCAAAGAGGAGAAAGATTTTAATCACCCAAAACGAACTTCTTATCATGATGATTCCCCATATTGGTCTTGATGATGGCTCCTAAACACCCAAATTTTGTGACTCAAATAATCAAACACAATAACTAGAGACAAACCAAAAAAAATAACCAAATTTGTTTCTTTCACAAGTTACCAAATGACAAAACAAACAGATTCAAGGTAATGAAAGAGTACAAGTACATACCTCTCTAAGTTGCTTCGAAAGAGAGAGAGACCAACAATGTACTCAAACAATTGTCGACACAACTTTGAAGACACCCAAATTTGATTACTTAAGGAGAGAGCTTCAACTCCTCTTTCTTTCCAGTAAGCATGATCAGTAGAACTACGTGCATTAATTTGATTCTAATTTGTGTATATATACTCACCAGAGAGTCCAAACTCAATCATTGTCCTGCTATTTTGAATAATTCATTGCTGTTTTCTCTGTTTTACATTAATTGGAAATTTTCTCTGTTTTCTCTAGAGATCAGAGTATAGGTGTTCAATC